AATGCACAGCGCCACAGTGACGACCAGGGCAGGAAGGAGGTCGTCGTGGCCCTCAATAGGTGAGTACCCCGCTACTATGCCCTTCCCTTCTCAGTATGGCAGCCCTGAGCTTATCCAAGTCGAAGCCGTTGAGCCCGCCCCCATCCTCAGTGGATTACCACCCGTATAATCAAGACTGGTCTCTCCTGCCTAGTCGGTGGCCACATATGTAGTGCGCTAGCGGCAATCACGACTGGACTGAGGTTCCCGTATGACTACGGGTAGATTCATCATGCTTTTACACACATGCACAAAAGCGTGCAGAAGCTACTTTCATCACCTAGCTGAGCAGCACACCGCCATAAGCCTCCAGGCTCGTAGTTCACCTCGAGCTACTCCGAACGTCTGAAACGGCAGAGACAGAATGAATCTCTCCCTAACATGCGGACAGATTCACTCCCCATCCTCCTTTCACAGCCCCACCCCCTCTTCAATGAAGATCCCCATGGCGAGTAGGTAAGTCTCGTACCTCGCAGCTCGCCTCGTGCCACTCTTATCAAAAGGATGGCCAACTCAGACTGATCTTCCGCCACAGCTCGGAGGGATACGCCCTCGTTGACGATACGACGAGCTAATTTCGTCACGAACTTCCGCTGCTCTACAATCACATGCAGCTCATAGGATGCACAACGCCCTAGCCAACACGTAAGGCTTCCAATCCCGCCGCTGCGTTGCGCTATTCACAATGACTAGCTACGCAGACTTGAATGAACCTACCGTTGAACAGTTGGCTAGATGCATCCTTGCTGAACTACTTCTAACTTGTTTTCCAAGGCGCAGCCTCATCTCCCTATGGCACAAAATTCACCCACCTTCTGCGAATTCCAACCGCGCTATTGGATTGCCAGCCCTTCAAAACCTCATAAATGCCTCCTCTCTTGCTTGTTTTCGTTAAGAAACGGGCGGAAGCAACCATTTTACTTCCTTTCCTTCCTCACTCCCCGCCATCTCTACGCATCGCTTTTCTCAACTAACTTCTACCTTACTAACCTAGAGCTAAAACTGGCCTTACCTCTAACCTCGCCTTGTCCCAAACCCCCTAAAAAATCTTATTTCGCTCGAATCTATCAAGAATCGAGCGAGGTCAGGGTGTCTTCTCCAGCCATAGTCCGTTTCTCTCTTAGCTCCCTCCTACATGATAGTGACCACGCAGCTGCTGTCATTCATACCGGCCAAACCGCCCATCGGATCCACATTCCAACGCTGCCATCAGATCCAGAGCGCCCAAAAACCTCAGATTAGCATCGTCGGGCGCGCAAAATAGTCAAAAAACGGCCGAAATTCGTCGATCTCCACCCCCAACATAGCCGTTTTTGCGGCACCTCCGCGCACCGTTTTCTTTTCCTTCCTCCCCTACCACTAGTCTCCTCCTCAATCTGACAGCCCTAGCTGGTTCGCCTTGCTTCAGATCCTCAGGTTAACACCTCCTCCCGCCGGCTTTCATTAGGAAGTAAGCACGTTGTAGCCTTTCAACTCTCCATGGCTTCTAGCCTCGCCGTCCGTTTTCTTCCCCCTCCTTCGAATGCACCTGGCGCGAAACCGCGTCCAGGTTCGTTCATCTATTACTGTCGCTTCTACTCCCTGTGCAGTGCCCTCCTGCGCTCTCTCTCTCTCTGCTCTGATCCTCCCTCTCCTCTCTTCCTATACTACTTCCTCCCCCGCTAGGCTGCGCTGGACACTACTCACTATGGCAAACGAAGAGAGAGTCCAACCCCTCTCATTTATGCAAGTTGGCCATGGGCAGGAGCCATGCCAATCTTCTCGGTACCGTTCCAATGCCAACGGATGTCTCGAAGGACTGTACCCAGGTAGTGATAGCCCAGCAGTTGCCCAGCAGTGGCCCAACAGTTCGTGGGTGTATCCACTGAACGATGTCGGTGGCTTTTCTGCAGGTCCCGGCGTTGGTACAGGACCTCATCCCCAGATAGACACAGCAACACCAAAAAAATTAAAAATAAAATAAAAAATATATGTAAAAAAGTCAAACTCAAAAATAAAACGGGGTAACCGGATGCGGGAGAGGCCCGTTGGTACCTGGGCCTCGGCCTCACCTCGCGGGCCCGCGGTCGAAACCCCCCACAAAAACCAAGGGGGATAGTCTCGCGGGCCCCTCGACGCCTCGGCCTTCTCCTTCAACATGCTCCACTGCTCCGCCACTCGTTGTTGGCCTCGATCCTAGGATCCACCAGGTGAGAGTTCAATGATGTAACCTATAGGGCTAAGCCCAAGCCTGGACAGGCTGTACGCTGCCCTGCATACGAGTGGTATGGCCAGCCGGCCCGGGCCTGCGGCAGCAGCATTAAGGCTGCTGCGAGACTTTCCCTCCCAATCACAGGGCCCCGTACGTGCGCACACGCCGTCAGGGACCGGACCTTGCTCGGCCTGTCACGCTTGTAGCCCCCATAATGTCGCGCGGAGGCCACCGCTTGCGTCTATGGTTCCCACGCACCGGCCCTTGCTGTATGAAGGGGTACATGTTTCCCTTGTGCTACCGTCGCACATGCAACCCAAGCGTGTCGCCACCCAACAAATCTGCTATCGGCGGCGCATGCCGTATGAATGCAGGTGCACCCTGGTCCATTTAATAAAGGAAACTTTTCCTAGCTTTAATCAAAACCAAAAATGTTGCCGGCGGACACGCCGACTCTATAGCATCAAGAGACAAAATCATCACGCGCGCCTCAAAACTGCGCGCACACCCACACTTTCTACTTCCTGTCAACTATTCAGTCAGCGCGAACTAAACACAATCGCAACCTCGCACGGTATACTCAAATTCTGAACAAACCTTATCTTCTGTCACTTGCAAAAACCAGGGCGGATACCCTTGTAAGGGTATCCTCGGCGACACCGCGTCGTCTGCAATTTCTGCACGGCGTGTGGGGCCAATACGGGGCTATGGAGTTCCACGGAACCACCGTGAGCTGGTGATAGGGGAGGAGGATGTGGAAGGGAGGGAAATTGGTAGCGATAACGACGAAGCTGGGGGATATGAAGTATTGCGTGTTATACGTAGTTGGGTAACCGGGGCACCTCGGGTCACTCATTATGGCACAGTGAAACTCCCTAGCGCACAGTCAGTTCTCGGTTAAACACGAAAATTCCAGGTATCTCTGCCTAAGATATTCTTCCTCCTAGTGCTCCAAATATTCCTGCTCCGCGGTGTACATCTTGTCATTCCGACGTACGTATCTGATTGTGCTTAGATAGACAAGGGAATTTTCAGAGTAAGGTGGCGGAAATTCCTATCGGCCCAAATCCTCAGAAAACGGAAATTTCACACTTATTCTGATGCTGGAGGTGCCGCATTCGTCTGTGGTCACGAATCGCCTGCGTGTGGACACGTGTAGGCCGCGCATATCAGATCACGCTTATACGTGTGCACGCGAGGTGCCCTGTTGTACACAGGCCTGTTGGTTGATTCTTGTGCAAGAGTAAGAGTTCAATCCTACATGCAAAATTTCTACGTGGCACAGACAATCACCCAATCATCTAATCATTCAGTGACCACAAAGTCACCAAATACTCCCGTCATGCAAAGTGACATCGCACCATGCATTTGACATCGCAACAACATCAACCTCTGTCATTAGCCATTCATTGCAAGCCAAGGTGAACAGAAAGAGACTCCGAGATAACAAGCACGCCATTCAACCATCCCTTATACATAACCCATCCATCAAGAAGAAGTAGATCAAAATCGAGGAGGAGCGCCAATCAAGGGCGAAAACAAGGAAAGATGCCGAATCAAAAAATGAGGCCGGATTGCCCGAAGTCGAAATCAAAACTTATCTACAAGGTTTGAGAAAGACAAAGAAAATTACAACTCCACGTCCATCCACCTCAACTCTCCCTCTCTTTCTCTCTCCGATGCGGACAGTCCGTCGTCACGCACCAACCCACGAAGTTGTCACCCCGGGAGCAGTGTATCGGATGTCCCCGCGGGAGTTAGAGGAGCTGCGCAATCAGTTAGACGAGCTCCTAGAGAAGGGTTGGATTAGGCCCAGTTCGTCTCCATTTGGAGCATCTGTTTTGTTTGTCCCCAAGAAGTAGGGAGAGTTTAGATTGTGTATAGACTATAGGGGTCTGAACGCTATCACAGTTAAGAATGCTGAGCCACTGCCTAGGATAAACGATCTTTTAGATCGGGTGCAGGGGTGCAGATATTTTTCGAAGATAGATTTGAGGTCTGAATATCATCAGATAGAGGTTCATCCTGATGATCAGTACAAGACAGCGTTCCAGACTAGATACGGGCACTACGAGTTCATAGTGATGCCCTTTGGACTAACCAACGCGTCAACGACTTTCCAGCGATGTATGAATGACTTGTTTAGGCCGTGGTTAGATAGGTTTGTTGTAGTGTATTTGGATGATATTCTAGTGTTTAGCAAGACCCTCCAAGAGGATCAGGGTCATCTCAGGCAGGTCTTGGAGAAGCTTAGAGAAGCTAACTTCAAGGCCAACGCAAAGAAGTGTAAATGGGCAAAGACCCAAGTTTTGTATGTGGGCCACGTCTTAGACGGAGATGGCATCAAGCCAAAGGATAGTAAGATTGCAGCGATCAGGGATTGGCCTACGCCGCGCACGTTGACAGAGTTGCGGTCATTCTTTGGCCTAGCGAACTATTATAGGAAGTTCGTAAGGAACTTCTCCACTATTGCTGCGCCCCTTCGCAGGTTGTTAAGGAAAGAAACCATCTGGAAGTGGGATAAGGACTGCACGTCTACCATGAAGAAGTTGAAGCAGGCACTGATAGAGTATCTCGTCCTTAAGGTGGCCGATCCGTCCTTACCCTTTGTCGTCACTACAGATGCCAGTCAGTACGGCATAGGTGCTGTTCTGCAGCAAGACGATGGCAATGGTTATAGACCCGTAGAGTTTATGTCTGCCAGGATGCCTTCAGAGAAGGTAGCGACATCTACCTACGAGAGGGAACTCTACGCTCTCAGGCAAGCGTTAGACGATTGGAAACACTACTTGCTTGGGAGGCACTTCAAAGTCTATTCCGACCACGAAACGTTAAGATGGTTAAAGACGCAGGCCAAGATGACACCTAAGCTTACTAGGTGGGCCGCAGAAATAGACCAGTATGATTTTGAGCTCAAGCCAGTCAAAGGGAAGTATAATGTAGTTACGGACGCTCTGAGTAGGAGAGCTGACTACTTTGGAGCAATAGTTCACTATTTGGACATAGGGAGAGACCTGCAGCAAAAGTTCAAAGAAGCATATGCGCAGGACCCTATCTATAGTGACCTCTTGAAGAGAGTAAAGGAGGCCCTAGAGACTGAGCCAGATTACCGCACTACTGATGGACTATTATTTGAGAAGACTAACGTAGTTGACCGTCTGTGCATTCCCAATAGTGAGGAGATCTGTAGTCTGATCCTAGGAAAATGTCACAACACAGAGGGTCATTTTGGTTGGCAAAAGACTCTAGCCAATCTAATGCACGCGTACACCTGGCCAAGAATGAAGAATGACTGCATAGAGTATATCCGCAGTTGTAAAGTTTGCCAGCGGAATAAGATTACTACGCGTGCTCCGCTAGGTCTTCTCATACCCTTGCCCATTCCTGATCAACCCGGGGATTCAGTGTCCATCGACTTCATGGACGCGGGTGTCAAGAGCAGGCATGGCAAGAGCCAAGTCATGGTGATAGTCGATAGATTTAGCAAGTATGCTGTTTTTATTCCTTTGCCTTCAGAGGCACGGACCGAGTTAGTGATCCGTAAGTTCTTTGATCATTGGGTCAGTGAGCACGGGGTCCCATTGTCCATAGTTAGTGATAGAGACACCTGGTTCACGAGTCAGAACTGGCAGGAGTTGATGAGAGTCTATGGCTCTTAAGTTGCTATTGTCGTCTGGCCATCATCCCGAGACCAACGGCCAGACTGAACAGATGAACAAGGTCCTGCAGCAAGTTCTGAGGATGTACATTAGACCAGATCAAGTTGACTGGGATGAGATGCTCCCCAAGGTAGCCAGTGCTTACAACAATAGTGTGCATTTGTCTACGTGCCGCACTCCCAACGAGTTGCACAAGTCCTTTAGACCTCACAGACCGTTTGAGGGACTTAACCGGGATCAGATTCATAGGCTACCGCCCGGTACTAGGGAGTTCGCTATACAGCACGAAAAGGAGCTAGCTACTGTTGCAGAGAACCTCAGGAAAGCCCAACATAGGATGATAGAGCAAGCCAACAAACATGGCCGCCCATCACAGTTCCAAGTAGGCGACTTAGTCTGGGTCAAAGCTAAAGAATTTGCTCCTGAAGAGAACATCTCGCAAAAGTTACTGCCCGCGTACAGAGGACCGTGGCCAGTTCTAGAAGTCAAGGGCGGAGAAGATGGGCCGTCCTACACCATCAAGATTCCAGTACACCTCCACACCTACCCAGTTTTCCATGCGTCAAAGTTGTTGCCATGCACAGTATGTGACCAGTTTCCATCTAGATCCATGATCCCTCCAGACATGGATGGAAGGTACGACATTGACGGCATTGTAGGTGAAGATGTGTTTAGAACAGGAGGTAGAGGTCGTCCTCAAAAACAGTATAAAGTCAGATTTGCATATCAGGAAACAGAAGACGACCGGTGGTTCACCAGGACCGAACTTCTAGAAACAGCTCCCGACATAGTCCGAGCCTACGAGAGAGAGAGAAAAGGTAAAGGTCCTGCCTTGGACTGAAGTATTCTCGGAGGACCTCGAATTTAGGCCGGAGGGAGTGAAACGGTATTCACCAGTTCGCAGTAGCTGATGCAGATCCCAGGGCTCGATCCCTAGTCCCCACCTTAACTGTGTACAGTATCTGTGTAGCCCCCGAGAGTTGAACCCGCGACCTGTGTGTTTTGTAACAGTTGGTAGGTCATCGTAGGGTCCCTAGGCCGTCGGGGTTCGATCTGTAGACCTGTCCAGTAGGAGTCCAGCCAGGTCTAGAAGTCGTAGCTGTAGGCTTCTCGAAAGGTCAAGGTCGTAGCTAGTCCAGTCCTGAAGAGTCAAGGTCGTAGCTGCGACAGGACCGAAAGGCCAAGTCCACGGCCTTCTAGAAGGGCCCGGTGGTGGCCTTTTGAGGTTGCCCACGTTTAGGCAGAGGCAAGTGGGCAAGTGGTGGAAGTCCACCGCGCAGAGTCAGCAGTCCCAGTCCAGTCAGTCCGGTCCAGTCAAGCAAGCACCGCCTGGGACTGTGTGCACCGTGGGCCAGGGAAACAGGGCACACCGACGAGTCACAGAAGAATAAATCAAGAGGCCGCGCACAGCCATTCATTCATTCCTGCGGAAGCCATGCGGAAGCGCTGTCTCAGCGGCTTGTGCGAGGAGGTCTGCATTCACGCCCGAGGACGAAGTGGGCGAGAGAGACGAAGTGCAGCCATAGCGATAGGGTAGAGGCAGCATCGCTGCCATAGCTAAAGTGAAGTGTGTGTGTGTTGTGCGAGTGTTCAGAGTGGTGTGTGTGGGATATCCAGGGTGATCCGGTGTGTGAACAGTGAGTTGTTGGGCGCTGAGTCGCCATCGCCAGTGGAAGTGAACTCTTATCTGGACGCCATATCTCTGAGTTCTGTGTGGGTGCATGTTGCCAGTTTGCTGCGATGAGACGAGTCTGATTGCAGGTGCAATTCCGACGAAACAATTTTGTTGTCATCAGTTTCTATTTTTTTCGGTCCTTTGACTTTCTTGGGACTTGTATTTTTTTCGGTTTGCCTGTTTCCGTCGGTGCTAGTTGTTTCTCAGTTCACTGTCTTTGCCTCGTCTTATTGTGTTTTTGTGCCCGCCCGCCTCCCCCGTGCCCACCAGCCTATGTGTTTTGTTGTTGTTTGTCATCTATGTGCCTCGTACATCTCCTCAGTGTGCATCCAGCCTTGAGTACTGCCTCTGTGTCTCCATATACGGATGCCTTGATGCCACCCTGTGTATGGATTGTTCTGTGCAAGAGGTGATACAACCTCGCTTCTTTGGCAATCGTGAATGCACATCCTGGTACGCTGCTCGCCGCGTTTGCGGGGCTCTGTTTATCTCAACACACACACACACACACACAGAGTGTGAGGATTATTATTCATTTACTGTTTAAATGTTAAATACATTTTCAATGACTCTTAGTCATTGAAGGAAGATTTTCCCATGAGCATTTTGTTGCATAACAGAGAGTAAAGGAGTTGGGATCATGTGTACTGTTCTCTATATGCTTGCCTGTCAGAGAACCCACAGCATGCGGTCTGTTACTTATTGCTGTAGGTAGATGGTGGGGTTAAGTTCCTTCCTTGAAGATTAGGAGGGTGGGGATTCTGATGGGTCACTCTCTCGCAGGTAGATCTCTCAACCACCTCCCCCTCTTTGCTCTTCGTCTTCCGCATTCAGTCATTGATATTATAGGTGTTTGGTTCTGTAGCCTTTTGTTGCAGGCTTTCTGTTACTCTCTCATCATCTTCCAATCGGGGGGAGGGCGCCCCTATTGCTGTGTTTAATGCAAACGCCTTTTTGTTTATTTGATGCTCATCTTATTATATGTTCCGCCTGTCGTTTATGATTGTGGGCAGTTGGTTATGAACTCCGGCAGAGAAAGATGTCCTCTTTTTCACCTTTCTTTTTTTTTTTTTTTTTCCCAGGTGCTTGTCTGTGTGTGTTGTGATGTGTAATTGTGCTGGGGGTGGAAATTTTGATGCTGCGGCCTTGCACCTCCCTCTCCCCCTCCCCTTTTTCAGTGCTGTTTCGCATTTCGTTAATTTTGACTTGGACTTCAAAAACGTTTTTTCTTTCAAGTCAAAACTGTCAAATGTATATACTATATATGATTTTCTTTTCATGTGATTGGAAATGCCACTGGGACTGTCATTATTCATTCTCCACTGGTCGAGGTGTATGATGCAAGAAGTAGTCCTGATCGTCATGCCGTACCTGTTACGGACTCCGCCAGGGCTCGATCCCTGGTCTATCTTTTGCTGTTTCGGCTGCATCCCGTTTTTGGCCTGGCACCCTTTTTCCAAACCCCTCCTTTGGTACCGTAGGATTTTGGACAACTGGCGCCATGCTGCAATTCGGGTGCCACTTTCAAATACTGCATTTTTCAGTTCTGCCCTCGGGGCCTTTGCAGAAATGCCCCTGGTACCGTACGTATCACCGGTACTTATACCGGCTCCCCGTTCGGTACGGGGACCAGTCTCGTACCAGTTCTCTGCTGCTGTACTCGTACTCAGTGTGACTTGCCGTTTCGGCATTTGGAATCCAAGACTTCCACTTTGTGCCTTGCCACTGTGTCTGCGTCCGACCCTCAGTCCGAGTCCGTCGTGTCGAGTGAGTGAGTGTGTGTGTGTGCTCTCACTCTCTCCCTCTCTCTCTCCTCTCCCTCGGCTCACCCTCAGCCTCACCCTCGTTACAGTACCTCTCGATGGAATGCATGTGTGACTGACCTTGAGAGGAGGGCAAACTACTGTCTGTCTTGTCTCGTGCAGGTTCTGAGTTGCTAAGTGGACAAGGGTACTTCCCTCATATAGTTGTTGACGAGGCGAAGCCATATCACACTAGTGCATTGTATGCAGCTGCCATTGAGGCTTGCACATTGCCGTACCGACTTCGACGAGAAGGGTCGGCTCTTGCAGCTGAAGGTCCTTTGGGCTGCACTGACCTCCATAGCATTGTTAACATGCTACATTTACGAGCACGGATTAATATTGCAGCTGCGGCGATTGCCTTTCCTGCACCTGCCATTTCGGGTGAGTTTTTTTTTGCCAATGTATCCATCTGTGCTGCTTCGTTTGGAACTCAATTCTCCTCTCAAGTAATATGCATTTTGTCACGGGCTTTTACAGCTTAAGTCACCACTGGCTCACGATGTTTCCAGGGATTGCTGCGGTGCACAGGGGCGCTGTCACTCAGTTTGGCCTACCAGACTGTGGACTAAACTGACCTGTCCAACCCTATATCAATGATGTGTCAAACGTCCAGGGTTGGGCAATAATCAGGCTTGATAAAGTGACTTCGGTCTCAGACTGCACGGGAGTGGTGTTTTCACCGTTCAACGCAGAGTTGCATACCTGCCGACCATCGACCCCGTCCCCCGACCCCGACCACCGACCGTTTTGCAGCCGACAGTAGGGGTTCTTTTTTCTTTTTTTTTTTTTTTTTTAAACAGGGCCTTATGGTCCTGGCTCCGTTCTATTCTGGGGAGCGTCAGTCCGGTTCCTATTCCACCGGCAAGTCAGAATATACATTACATTGAGACTCACACACGCTTCCTTCCGTTCGGCCGAAGGGCCCCTGGACAGCATTGATTGCTCCACCTTGGTGGAGGATTAACTGCCAGCTTGCCATATCCCTCTCTTTCCTCTAAGATCTGGAGGCCAAATCTGTCAAATAGTACTATGCCACCTAGAAAGAGCTCCCCCTTAATCCCTGCTGGCCTGCCTCATCCCCACTCATCTGTCCTGSCCGTGAGGCGTGATAACCCMTGTCCCATTCTATCTGYCCCCCTTTCTTTAAAGTTTAAGTCATCACTAAAGCCCTGAACCTTAAACCCTCGACCCATCATCCCTTTGAGACGGTGTTTTCCCCTTGTTCTGGTCTTTTGGTCCCTCTCCCTG